TTTTCAAAAATAAAAGTTTAAAAAAAAAGTTTTTTGCAGTTAATACCGAGAGTATTTCTTTTCTCGCGGTATAACACGGCAATGGAAAATACAATTCTCTATCGAAACGGCCAGGTCTTCTTAAAGCTGGATCTATAGCGTCGATTCTATTCGTTGCTCCAATTACTATGATCTCTGAATTGTTCTCTAAGCCATCCATCAAGGCCAAGAGAGTGGAGACAATGCTGGCGTGTACAAAGTCTTGACGACTGGATCTTACTGGTGCTAGACCATCAACTTCGTCAAAAAAGATTATACAAGGTTTCGATTGCTGAGCCTGTAACATTGATGTAATAATGAATTTTATCTTTTTAAAATATATATAAATATAAAATTTTTATAAATATTAATTTTTTATTTTATATAATTTACAAATATTTAAAATTTAAAATAAAATAGAAAATTCTTATAATGGAATGAACAATGTATATCGAACAGTAAAGGAAGTAAATCGATAATAGCTCTTCAAACAAAGATAAATATATTTATTCATAATTTCCATTTTTAAAATTTTTAAAAAAATTTTTTAAAAATTTTTTATCATTATAATTTTATAATCTATGCATTTTTAAATTTTCTATTTTAAATTTCTAAATAAATTTCAAATAAAACGAGAATATTCTGATATTCATTTGACTTTTCTCTCATTATTATTTCATATAACATGCAAGTTGAAAATCTTCCTTATTCGATTAATTATTATAAATAATTGTAAATTAATAAATTACCTTTGTTAATAATTTTTAATTAATATCTTAAACTAAGAAAATAAAATAATTGTATTATTAACCAGGAAAAAAATCTTCTGAAGCTTTTTCTCGCTTTCGCCAACCCATTTGCTAAGACAATCGGAACCCTTACGAGATATAAAAGAAACCTTCCGTTCAGCGTTACTGCATTCCACAGCTAAAGCACTAGCAACCAGAGTCTTTCCTGTGCCTACGAAACAGAGAATGTCAATCGGGAATCTTGTTTCGAAAAATGTTTCGTTTTATTACGAACCGTAGAACGCTTTATTTTACCAGGAGGCCCATAAAAGAGCAAACCCCTCGGTGGTTTCAAGTTGAACTTCGCATAAATGTCACCGTATATAAGCGGAAATAGAACCGTTTCTTTCACTATGCGGATATGCTTCTCCAATCCTCCGATACAAGAGAAATCCTTTGTGCAGGACATTTTTCGTAACGAAAATTACACTCAAACTTTTATTTCGCATACCCGACAAACGTATTCTCATTTAGATATCACGATTTCGTATTTTTATAATTGATCCTTGAATTTTTATCCAGTAAAATCCAGTTCGACAACTTAAATCGTTAACCATATATATGCATCGTGTTTTTCTAGATATTTTACTGGAATAATTTTATGTTGCATTGATGATTGATTTAAATCGATTCACAATGTAATTTTATTGTATTTTAAATGTTTCATTGATGCGATTATAGCGAAACATGCGAATCGTGTTCCTTTTTGGAGCAATGTTCGCGTAAATAATATATATAATAAATTATAAGATTCTCTTTAATAAAATAGATATTACTTTTTATGAAATTTAATATCGTTTAAGAAAAAAGTCAATATAAAATATAAAAAAATATTTATTTTAAAGTGAATTATTTTTTATTATTTTATTATAAAGATATATATTTAATAAAATATATAATTTATAATATGTCGTATTTAATTATTGTGATATTATTTAATTATAAAATACATGAAAGCAACATAAATAATTATAAAATTATATTTCTTTCATATTGTTATATAGTATGAATTAAAATGTTTAAAAAGAACGAATTAAATTTACTAAAGAATTACATGATTTTATTAAAATTACTTATAAATTTTTATAAATTTTAAAAAATAATTTTTATTGTTTTTATTGTTGAATTTTTATTATATAAAAATATTATATAAAATATTTATTATATAAAATAGGATGTTAAAAAGTAAGACAAATAGTTATATTATAAATTTCAATTTATTATGCTACAATGAATGACAATAAAACGTATTACCTGTATGGTAAAATAAATAAGGCAGTGTATGCTCTCTTGTTTTGTTCCTATATCTTCTACATATCTGCTCCATATACTGTCTGTCAAAGATCATATTGTATGAACAATTCAACAAAAATTTTATTGAATTCGTAGGTCAATATGTTCTTTTACAAAAAACAGTATTACAATCTTTATTATTTGAATACTTTAGCAAAGTAATTATAGTAGTTTAAACGGCAGTGGTTACGAGAACCTCTCGATTAATACAATGTACATATAATTACATAGTTTTTTTTATCTTTTGCAATATTATTGGTAATACAGAGATGATAGTACATTAGAAAATAGCACCAGAAATTATTCTTGGAATAATTACATGTTTTGGATTTCTCTCATAAAATGGAATGTAAAATACATATATTAACAGGAAAGTCACAATAATTCAATTAATGTTTTTTCTTTTATATAATCAGTATTAATTGTATATGTGATTTTTCTGTATCATTTACTATTTATTGAAGTTTACATTTGAATTTTTATCGTTGAAATATTATACAACTTCTTTGGCAAATATCAGCGATATTTATTTGATGGATATATTTGAATTAAATAAAAACTTATTTATGAATGCTACATATTATCAAATTATATAAAATTGATAAAAAAAATATCTGCATATAGACTATATCATTAAATAACAGAAATTTTAAACAAATTTTCATATCGCTGAAATTTTTATTATTAATATTTTGAAAACTAGAAGCAATATTACAGCCTGTTTTTAGTATTAATTAAATTCCTTGCATTTTTAAGATAAATATTATAAATTATATTATGTAATGGTAACAACATTTTTGTTAACTTAATATTTTTTATCTATTTTAATATGAATACCAATATTTATTTAGTTTTCATAATGTGGCACTAATTTACATAATGTTAATTTTTCTTATCATAAATGGTGATATACCTGAGCAAGAGAAAGTTTATTATTTTAATTACCATTTTTACTAAGTTTTGAAATATCTTGGTATAAAATTAAATATAACAATTTGACTAAAAGTATTTTCTAATCATTAAAATTTAAATTAATTTTAAATTATGCAGAAACTTAAACTAAAATTTATTAATTTGTATCTTAATTCTTATAACATTATATTCATTTCATTTAGTTACCATGTTGTCAAAAAGTATTTCAAAATTTCAAAATTATTAACAAATATTTCTAAATTTTTTTATATAAAAGATTTTCAAGCAGTTTTTTGCTCAATATATCTCAATTTTATACAAAATAATATATATATATATATATATATGGAATATTTTTATTATAATAAAACATAGAAATATATCTTCATATACAATATTAAATTAAATTATGAAAATTATCTGAATTTTTTGAAAATTATCATTAATAAAAATAAAATGAATTTCTTTAGCATGACATATCTTTAATATAAATTATATTCTCTATAATTATGTTCTCTACAAATTAATTATTTTAATCTTAATATATCATTCTAAAACATCAAGCATATATTAAAAAATTAAACATACAAATAATTATTTTCATAATATTACATACATAAAATTATTTTATCTCAAAATTTGATATTTACATTATAAAAGATTATTTAATATTTAATAGAATATTGAAAATTATTTTCCTAATTTAATTTGAATATAAAAAATAATACACAAAAAAATAAATACTATGCAATGAGCATTTCTACAGTTCAGTCTTTTGATTTTTATATTCTAACAAATTTTAAGTATTTCAATTATAATTTCGTCAAACTTAATTATAATTTTCATCATAAATGAAAAATAATTTTTTTATATTTATTATTTATAATTTATATTTGAATATTTTGACTAATATAAAAATAATAAAATGCAAATTACCAATCTAATAATAACATAATTCTATTAATAACATTTTTTTAAGGATTTTATATTATTTATTATATTATATGCTTGATTATAAGAATTATTATTAAATTCTTATAGTCCATCTTAACTTATAATATTTATTTAATAATTTCTATTCCTAAATAATTGAAAGTAAATAAAGAAATTCATTTTTTTCTAACATATTATTCTTTTATATTTTAATAAAAAAAATATTATTTATATGACCAATATAAATAATCAATAGGCAGAAACTTATTACTTGAACTCTAGAATACATCAAAATTTCTTTCCCATGTATAGCATTTGGTAACTATTCTTTCACAGTTATATAATTAATCACAACCACTGTATGAATCTAGAATATAAATTTTGTTAAATATTTTCTATTTATACAGATACAATATTCTTTGCATATACTTATGATTTTTACCGAGGTATTCAACATTTATTGAACAATTTTCAATTATATTCATTTTTATATTCATAAAGGAGAGAAATAAAATTTATTTCTTCATTATTTCACTTATGGTTTAACTTTGGTCAAAATAAACTGACAAATATGTACTATATTTCAATTATAAATCATTCATAATACGAAATTAATTTATTTGTATATTGTAATTTTAATATTTGTTTGAACATAATTATGGGTTACTTATAATTGCATTCAATTATATCATACTAATTAAAGCAATAGTTTTAAATTTGAATAATGCTATATATAACATTAATAGCTATCAATGTATATAGAAATTATATTCATATTAGATATCATTAATTTTTACATATATATATTGATAAAAAATTATTATATCAAATATTATTTTAAATAATTTACTACCAATCATTGTATTTATGCAAATATATTTCAATTAAAAATTATAAATTGAAATCTAGTACAAATTACTCCTAAAAATAAATTATGTACAAAGCCAAAAATAGTTATTTATGCAATATATAACATTGCTCATAAAAGGAATGTATTTACATATTTTTCACTTTATGAAATATTTTCATCGTTTTAATGATTAATTGAAACTAATACACAAAGTTGTTGATATTATACGAATTTAAAACTTATATATTTTTATGTTGTGTGTGAGTATTATTTCATTAAATGATTTCTTTTTTAAAAATAGGGCACATGTGATTTCATATGCATAATGGAACCATGTGTATCAAGATATGTCTATTTTTAAAGTACTTTATAAAAATTACCTAAAGAACTGTAAAAATCCAAAGTAATAACTGGCGCATATAATGAATCTATAATATATTTTATCAAGGTTTATCATGATCTTAGTATATTCATATACAATAAAATAACTTGATATAATATACTGCCAAGTACCACATGTAAAAAACTATAGTTAAGTACATATTGTATTAAATTACCATCATCTTTGTATAACCATTATTTGCAAAATTTTGTTATTATGAATACCTTTTTGAGGCATAAAGTGCTATACACAAAAACGCAAAAATTATTTCACAAGTACCCCATTAAAATTATATTTATAAATTTTTTATATAATTTATAAAGAAAACAAATTGTTTGTCATCTTCTAACCAATTTCTTATCTCTGACTTTTTAAATCAATTTTTTTGAAAATGGTAATAACAGCAAATAATTAATTGCAACTCACATATAATTATTGAAATATCTAAATTTGATATCAAAATTTGTTACTAAGAGATATTTCATCTCAGCTACTAATAATTAGATAATGAAAGCCAATATAGTTATAATAATTTATCATTTTATATTTAGATACTGAGATAAATGTTTTAAATCGTTTTCTCTTAGTTTCACATACAACAATAATTTTTTTTCTTGTTATATGAACGTACAATTATATTTCACCATATCTTTAAAAACCGAAATTTAAATGTATTATTATTTCGGTTTTCCTTCATATCTTTCATTTATATTTGTAGAATAATAATTACCCGTTCTTTAAACTTTATGCAATAAAACAAAAAAAAACATACTATTTTAAATCATCATGTGATTTAACACTAATTAATAATCTTTGTTTAGTGTAAATGTACAAAAAATTTTTTATAATGATACTAAAAATAGTATGACTTATAACATGTCGGTCTGATTAGCGACATGATGAACTTTTTCATATGTTGTCTTGAATTCTTCAAATCTTTTCACTTCCTTGAGCAAGTCCTATACATATATTATAAAATATAAGATATTTTATACTACAAAAAAATTATATTATCTATATCATATAACTCAATTAAAATATTATGAGCAATAACATGATAAATAATATAACAAATAATAATTTGTGTGACTAAGAAATAATATTATAATAAATAATTTGTATTTTATGTATTTTACATTACAAAAAAATTATATTATCTATATAATTCAATTAAAAAACGAACAGAAGCAACAATTCAACAAAAAGCAAATAATATAAAAAATAATAATTTATATGATTATTTAAAAATTTAATGTTTAATAAATATGTGTGTAAAAAAAATAAATAAAAAATAAGCAATAAATTGTAAATTTAGTTGAGTAAAATTTATTTACCTTTGGCAGTGATTTTCTATCATAATTCTGAGCATATTTTCCTACACATCGACTCAGTTGTACATAAATGTCACATAATACTTCAACAGGAAAATCTTTCGTAACTTCAACAGTGATTTGCCATGCATTTTCTAATTCATTTTTATCTACTACAAGTTTCTCATTTTCTTCAAATCTGGCTGGACTAGAATCACTCTCAATAGCAAATGATAATTCATCTATACTTTCTCGTCTGGATGATGAATTAGATGCACTATTTTCTGCATTCTTTTCTTCTTCCATAAAACATATTTCCATATTTTCAATTTCATCAATATGCTGATCAGTAATATTATTGCTTTGAATACCTTGCATATCTTTCGAACTTTCATTTTGTGAATCATTCTCAGAATCAGAATTATCAAACAAAGGTACATGACCATTTAAAACACTGTTTGCTTCGGTTTCAAATTCTTGGAATTTTTCTAAATCTATACTTGTTGTTTCATTAGTTAAACAAATCTTGTTATCAGATACAGTTACATTTTCTTCAAATGCGATTTTCTTCTTCTTATGAACTTTTTTCACATAGCCTCTTGCCCAAGCTGGTATTCGACGTTTTCTAGAATTATTATATCTTCTTCCATTTACAATCAGGGAATGACTAGGACTCGCATTGTCTTTTTTTACATCTATTCGTTCAGAAGCAGATGTAGATTCTATTTTAGATTGGCTTTTATCTTCCACCTCATTGCTAGCCGCATTTTCAATAATTCTACGATTCTTTGAAATCTCACGACATTTATCCTCAAAATCAGAATCCAATTCTGCTTTTATTAACGCATATGCATTATCACGAAGGGAACATGCACGATGCCTTATTAATTTGTCAGCTGGGTCTCTGTGAATACAATATTTATAATATATAATATATATAATATATGTAATATACAATATATACGTATATATTCATAAAATATATTACTATCAATAAGCAAAATTAACTATAATATGAGTGGCCTTCAATAATAATTAATATAATAATGTAATATTTATTTAACCAATAATGTATGTGCCATACAAATTGAAGGTCACTTTAACTACAGAGCAACAACAGCAATGGATAAACAGGAATATCTCAACTACCTCTTTAATATTCCAAGGGAAGGCCTATCACGTAAGCTGACATGAAAACACACAACATGAATGTCAGTATGAACTTTAACTTTGTTATTTATATTTATACTTTTAATATACAACAATAATAAAAAATATGTAAACTAATAAATATAAACAATAATATAAAAAATATATATTAAATATTTTTGTGAATTTTAAAAAATTTATGGAGAAGGGAAAGAAAGAGAGAAATAGAGATAGATAAATAAATAGATCAGACAGAGACAAAGATAGAGATAGAGACAGACAGACAGACAGACAGACAAATAGAGAGACAGACAGACACACAAACAGAGAGACAGATAGACAGACAGAGAAAGAGTAAATAGATAGATAGATAGATAGATAGAGACAGAGACAGAGACAGAGCAGACACACACACACACACACACACACACACACACACACACACACACACACACACACACACACACACACACACACACACACACACACACACACACACACACACACACACACACACACACACACACACACACAGAGAGAGAGAGACAGAGAGAGAGAGAGAGAGAGAGAGAGAGAGAGAGAGAGAGAGAGAGAGAGCGAGAGCAAATAAAGAAAGCAAAGTAATAAAAAACTTATTAAAAATGTTTAGTAATTAAATTAAAATATTTAAATACATAGGTTTATATATATATAAAATCTAAAGTTAAAGATTTAAAACATTAAATAATATATTATCTACTAACCTGTCAGGATTATATTCTAAAGCATTTTTACAAATGAGATCGATATCATCAAGAAAATCTCGAGCACAAAGATAACAGTGCATATCAATCTTTGTCATCATGGTTTCTAAATCCATAGGTTGTTTTATTATCATATTATAATCTGGTACTTCTTCTGTATCCACTGGTTTTGTAAACATGAAAAATCTATAATGCATTAATATCAATTATTATTTTTATAAATAAAAATTTTTAATATTGAAAATACTTACTGTCTATTCCTTGCAAGTTTTGCACAAATTTCTCTCAAGAAAATTCTCAATTCTCTTAATGAAATTTCTTCTTTTTCGTATATTATTTTTTTTTCTTCTTCTGTTAATTTCTTTGGTAAAGGATCTGGTGCTAAAGGAAGCTCTTCTAAAACTTCTATTTTATCATCTTTTATTTTTGGTAGTTTTAGGCTTTGAATCATGAAAATAGGTCGGAAGAATTTAGATCTTTGATCTTTTGTTGGCGTTTTCATAGAATAAACTTCATTTCGTAATTCACTAAATAGACTTTGAAGTTGAATAGGAAGATCTTGATATGTTCTATCACTTGTAGCTAAAATTAAAATAGGCAATGAAGGATCAAGTGCTGCAATACGACACAAAAAAACTGCTTTTACAGTTTCAGGTACAAGTGGCCACCATTGATCAATTGACCGAATATAAATTATGGACGGTACATTTCTGGCAGCTTCATTAAATACCTACATTATTTAAAATTATATGAGATATTTTAAATTATAATTTATTAATAATATATGTTTTTTTTTTTTTTAATTAACTGACCTGTACACAGGTTTCTTCGGGAGATCGTCCACTTTCTGCAAAAAGAGTACTAACATCTAATGTTTGAACTGGCAGATGTTCCATATGATATAATAATGCTTGTGCTAAATGTGGCCCTTGTCCTTCAGATAAATTTCCACCAGAAATTAATAGTCTTGGACGATGTATTCCTTTGGTAATTTTCACTCTAAATCATTTAACAAAATAATATTAAATGAAAAAATAAATATACATAAATATACATTATATAAACAATTATAAAATGATTTTCTTAAAATTTTATTACTTTGCCATGGCAGGATTAATTCCTTGAGGAAATATTCCTTTTATTGAATTGAGTAATTCTTCCAACAAAGGTCCTAATAATGGTTCCATGAAAGGTTTTAATTTTCTTCGAGCACAAGGAGATACTCTTTGTGATGATGGTACAAGAATAGAACTAGCTTGCAAAAAATCTCGTTTTTTCACCTATATAAAAATATATTTAATTTTAGATTATAATTATTAAATTTATTATTAGATAAATATTTATAAATAATAATAATTTACTTCAACTCGTTCAGGATCTAAAAGTAATCTATTATTTGTCATATATATTTGAGGATAAGTTCTTCGCAATCCTTGCAAAACTGCTTCTGTGCACAATGCTCTTAAGTCTGAACCACAATAACCTGTTGCTTTTTCAGCTAATATCTCTAATAATTGATCAGATGGAGGATTTTTCCATTTGCTGACGTGAATTTTTAATATTTCTAATCTTTCTTTCATAGCAGGTAATGGAAAAAACAATTCTCGATCAAAACGACCTGGTCTACGTAATGCTGGATCAATAGCATCTATTCTGTTTGTAGCTCCAATAACTATTACCTATTATTAAATAAACAAAATAAAAATTAATTAAAAGTATTTAAGAATTTATAAAAAGTCACTTCAAAATATTGTTAGAAAGATAAAAAATAAAATATTTAACCTCTCCTCTATCACTGAGTCCATCCATAAGCGCTAAAAGGGTAGATACGATACTAGCATGGATTTGGTCCTGTTTCGTACTTCGAACAGGTGCAAGGCCATCTATTTCATCAAAAAATATTATGGACGGTTTCATTTGTTGAGCCTGCTCAAACAATAATCGCAACTGACGTTCAGATTCTCCGACCCATTTGGATAGACAATCTGCACCCTTTCTCATAAAGAATGACATTTTCTTACTGCCTTGACTACATTCATTTGCCAATGCTCTAGCTATTAATGTTTTACCAGTTCCTAATTTAAATAAATAAATAAATATTACAATATTATGTTATTTTATAAAATAAATATAATTAATAAATATATAAAATAATAATAAAGTAATAAATATATATAATATACCTGGTGGACCATGAAATAATACTCCTTTTGGTGGGATAACGTGAAAACGTTCAAAAATATCTGGATACATCATAGGAAAAACTACCATTTCTTTAAGGCAGTGAATATGCGATTCTAAACCTCCAACATCATTGAATCTAATATTGGTATCTAAAGTAATTGGATTTATATCTGCTTTGCGATCAGGTGGTCCACCTTGAGGTATTGCTGATTGCCTAACAATAACACGAATAATAATTTGCATGGTTACTTTCAATAGAAACAAATTTTCTTTTACCTTGCTTTTTTACTTTTTTTCTTATCATAACGTTGAGGTTCTGAATCACTGGAATCACTAGAACTTGTACTTTTGCTTCTATGTTTACGCCTCCTCATGGAATTACTAAGAACACTTCTAAGTGCTTTTATAGATCGGCGAACCGGTTCTACATTAGCTTGAAATCTATCTACAGCTGGTTTTTTCTGACGTAAACTGTACTTTCTAGGACCAGGAGAGTCGGAAGATTCACTTAAATCACTATCAACTATAGTAACAATAAATTATAAATAATACATAAGATATATTTAATTACGTAAAATATATGTTTATACTATAAATAAATTTCAAACCTGTAAGCTTCTTACCCCTTGGTAATTGCCGTTGTGCTGTTCTCCTAGTCCGTTTAATACGAGTATACATATCTTCGTAACCCTATGAGCAATATATTTATATATAATATTTATATATATATTTTAATAATATTTATACGATTTAACATTATTTTATAAAAATTTATGTATCTTATTATTTCATATTAATATTCTTTATTAAAAATAAAAATAACTTTAAAACTTTTAAAAATAACTTTAAATTATTACATCTTCATTTTCAGAATTATTTTCTGCCTTTTCACTTTCTTGTGAACTGTCTTCATCAGCTTCCACACGTTCTACTTTAGATTTTACATCTTTTTCACTTAAATTTCCACCAAGTCTTGTAGCAGGTCCTTCTCTAAGCCTATTTGGGCTATCAGATTTTCTTGTTCTGCATATAAATTTTTTATAAAGATATATTTAATCAGATTTTAATTTTATAAATTATAAATTATATTAATAAATATTTACCTTGCATCTTTTTCTTCATTAGACTTACTTCTGGTTTCTATTTTATCTTTATGTTCTCTCTCTGTTCTTTCTTTAAGATCTCTAATATCTTTCTCTTGTTCTGTTTTTTCTCTAAGATCACGATCACCTCTTCCCCTAAGTTCTCTATTATTTTGTCTGTCATGTTCTGTTCTTTCTCTAATATGTCTAGATGAATTTTTGTTTGGAGGATGATTTTCACGTGACCTAAGAGGCATACGTTCCCTAACATCACGTTTTCTTTCAGGAACTTCATCCACCATTTCTTTATCAGATGAAGAACCATGTTGTTGAAACATAGGATAACCTTTCAATGTTTGTGTACCTAAAAATTATTATATTGATTTAATATATTGATTTAATATAATAATTTATTTAATATAATTTAAAATAATCTAAATTAATGAATATAAATTAAACATAAATTAAAATATCTTAAGATATATTTTACCTAAAATCCAACTAGTATTAAGATTATCATATGTTTGCATTCTATGACGTGTACTACGACGCACACTTAAGTTATTCATAGATATATGAGAAGTAGAATTTGAATGTGATCGTAAAGTACGTAAACTTTTAACCCTTCTGGCATTAGAGCCCAAACTACTGCAGGCTTTTCTTGGAGAAAAAATATCCTCTTCTGTATCCATTGAATCCAATGCAGCATCATCATCTGACATTATCTATAATTATTAAAAATTATTATATTAATTATTATATATTAATACAATATTAATTATCACATTATTAATAATTATTAATTACATTAATATATATATTAATATAAATAAAATTTTACATAATAAAATAAAATTGTATCTTTAAATTTTAATTGATTCAATCATATTATATATTAAATATGATATTAATAATATGAAATTACTAAAAAAATATATTATATATAAATATAATATATATTAAAATTTATTTAATTAAAAAAATTTATAAAAATAATAAAGCATATAGAGATCAAATATAAACATTATATCTGTAATAGGATATAATTTTATATATATTTGATTTACAACATGAAAAAGAGGTTAAATCAAAAAATCATTTGACAATTAACACGTGTTTTTTTCGTATTTTTTATTGCTCTTTTTATGAAATGATGCACCATCCATTTAAATATTTTTTCAAAAAATCAAGAAATATAAAGTCATTAAATATACAAATATGTAAAATGTTTTTTATAAATAAATTACAATAATTAACAATTAATTATACAAAATTTAAAATAAAAATATATTGTCTACAATAATAATAAACAAAGCACCATGGGAGCAATTAGATTCGCCTTGAAATATATGAATTTTAACTTTTGCAAATATATATTACTTAAAGTGCAATATTGTTTAATATTTCATAAAATAGATTACCTTCATCTGGCCAGTTCTTGCTGACAATTTGTACTTAATTTAAAAAGAAAATTTCTAATATCCGTCATATGCCTTAGGTAAAGCAACACCACTTTCTTGATCAAGTGCACGTAGCGCATGCACACTGAGCCTTCACAAAGGTCGTTTTATGATCGACTATCACTTAAAATTGTTACACTAAAAATATGAATAATATGCATGATATACACTAAAACTCATAAATTCGTTGTTACAATACAAAAGTTTTTGCCGGATTGATGGTTACAAAATTCGTATCGTAAACTATCATTGCATATGTGAACTCATACTGAAATTAGCTGTAAATGTATCCTATAGACCTAACCTAACCCACAATTTGCCAATTGTGATCACCTTTAAGTATATAATTCAAGAATACGATATTAGCGCACTCCTACATAAAAAGATGTAACTACGTAATAAATTACGAAATACAGTACTTTACTTAATTAATTTTTTAATTGTTATATTTGAATATTATATATTATCAGTATAATTTCGAAATTTATAAATCAAATGTTATATATATTTTCAATTTTACATATATTTTATTTGTATATGTATATATGTGTACATATGTATATAATTTTTGAAACGATTATATTATTATTTCATAAAAACATTTTAAAATTAATATTCATTTTAATCATTTTATAATAAATATTATATAAAATTGTTAATAAAATTTTATATAAAATAATATAAGATATTTATTTAAAAATATATTTTAATTTTATTCATACATAATGGCAAATTTTATTATCATTTTCGTATCACTTACAACATTAGCAATTTGACGATTTGAGAATAAGTATAGACGTAACAAATACAGAATAAAAAATAAACATGATATGCAATTTCGCGTGTTACGTATTCTGAAATACCGATTGTGCAAAAGAACTAGAAGTTAGAGCATAAAATAAGCATAGAATAAATCTAATCACAGACTTCGTCTATGATTTAATATATTTTTATATCACATAATTTCTATTACCATTCGTATCGAATGCAATATTATCGATTAAAAATGGAATAAAACAACAGCGCTATTTGGAATAAAAAAAATTAATGTTATTCTCGCTGTTCATAAAATGATGACCGCACAATGAAATAGTTATTAGTAAGAGTTAAATCATAAATGCATATTTATATATTATTCACTAAACAATTACTATTCGATGCAGAAGACGATTTTTTCACGTAAGCATTATCGAGAGAACACAATTGTAAATTTCCGATTGCGAATTTGTGAAAATTACTTAGTAGAATTTTTAATATTAGAATTAGAATTTTAGAATTAATAATATTAGAATTTTTTTAACATTATTTTTGTATTAATAAGTTTTGTATTAATAATTTTAACGTTATTTTTGTATTAATAAGTAAATAAATAAAGAAAATAATAAAAAAATATTTATTTTAATTTTTGAAAATCATATACATATATGTATAATATTAATATTCAATTCAATTAGATAAATTTAATAAGATAATAAGCAGAAAATATTTTAAATAATTCCTCTGAGATTAACTACTATACTTTAATTTTTAATTATTATTTAATTAACTAATTATACTTTAATTTTTGAATTGAATGGTAATCTAAAGAAAAAGTCAAGCATTTAATAATATATGCTTGGTGTATTTAATAATATTTTTAGAGAATCATTTATTAAACATAATTTGAATAAAGTAAAATTGAATAAATTATGTAAGAAAAATTTTATTAATAATCTTTAGTTATTAAAAATTGAAAATGAATTTTTGGATGAAGAAATATTATTTATAAAATATATTATACAAATATAATAATGTTTTTTCTGTTTATCTATCAGTATCCATCACTTGAGAATTTAATCCATTCTTTATATTTTTTGTTTATGATATTCTTTTTATAAATAAATAATTTAGTTTAATAAATTCGATCCATAATAAACATCGACAAATTATTTATTTTATAATTTATTGTAATTTATTAATCAAATTAAATTAATATAACATAATGTTAATTATTTAAATAAAAAAGTTAATATAGAACATTAAATTTTATAGAATACATGTATTAAATATATTTTATATTTTTATATATATTATATTTTATATATATATTTTTAATATTATATATTAAATTATAATATATTTTATATATATATATATTTTTAATATTTTTTAATAATTTGAATTTCGTATAATATTTATAGAGAATTTCATATTCATACAATAAAACGAAATGATAATAAAAAGCGATAGAGCGGGATAATACTTTATTTAATATAAACTTAAATTGTTTAAAACTTAATAATTAATCAATATTTGTATATTAATATTTGTATTTGTTTCAAAACCAACTAAAAGTACTAGAATATATTAACATCTTATTATATTACATTATATTTATATTGTTATATATTTTTTTGTATATACTTATTATATTTTGTTATTATATAGATTATATAAACTATATTTTATATAATCTATATTTTTATATATTTTACATATTTATATAATACAAAAAATAATAAATTTATAAGTTAAAATTATAAAATTTATAAGTTAAATTTATAAGTTAAAAATATAAGTTATAATTTTATAATCTTATACAATTTATTTTATCAAAATTAAAAAAAATGTTATTTAAAAAATATTTTACACAATTTTTCTTAAATCATTTAGAATATTGTACAATTTATATTTTTTTTTCTATTATTCTATTATTAATAATATAATATAATACTATAATATAATAATATATAATATAATATAACAAAAAATAAATAATAATCTATTAATATAAAAGATACAATATATTATCATAAGAGCATAATTTTTTAGAAACTTCATTAATATATACATGTTCAGAGGTAAATAAATAATATTTTAATTTCAATGAAAATATTATTGTAATATATTTTATTAAAATTAACACTTTATTAATATATTTTGTATTATGTATATCTTTTGGCACATGAAGGCATTGTTTTATGTGTTTCTAATTTTACAATGATGTCTTGAATCCATGACATATGATTAGAAATTCGAGTAAATAAAGAATAAGAATAGCTATCACAAATCCTACTTCCTCCCATTATTTTTGTACCAACACTAAGACTAACAATGCCTTTTAAATACCACTGACCACGTTTTTCAAAGATTAATCCGCCACCACTATCACCATCACAAACAGAAGAACCTATAATTTAAATATTATTTTATAAATTTTAATATAAAATTAATAAAATATTATAATTTTATTATATACATATATATAATAATTATATAGTTAATAAATATATATATAATTAATTCTAAAAAAAATTTTTTTAGAAAATAATTTTTTTCTAACCATTTGCATAACCTGCGCAAAATTTATCATATGCTATAACATATTTTTTTGAATCGTTAGTACTTGATGATATGCATTGATTAAAAGGAACATATGGCAATCTAATTGTCTGTAAAATTTGACTAGATGGACTTAAAGCAGTTCTTCCAAATCCTGCAACTTTTCCTAAAATTCCTGTTTCTAATAAAATCTGATCATTCAAAATATCTAAACATATAGGAACTAAGAAAAATGAAAATGTAAATGGTTCTGTAATTTCCAATATAGCTATGTCTCCAGCATAATTTCCATCAAATCCAAGATAAGTGCAAACATTGTATATGTTTTTCACCTAAAATATACATATATATAGATATAAGAATCAAAATATATTAACTGTTAAAATACTAAATATAAATACCTTTGCTTTTTTTACTATTCTTATATCATGAAAAGGATAATCATATTCTCTAAAAATGTTGCCTGTAATTATATCATATTTTGAAGCATCATAAAATTTTTTATTATCATCATCATAAACACAATGTGCTGCTGTAATTAGAAGACTTTCATGTATAATAGTTGCACCACATATAAATTCTTTTGATGCAGTAGAATTCTTTGTTACATAGAGTGAAGCATGCCACGGAAATTCGGTAATTTGTGGTTGAGTTCCATTTACAATAAGTGTTTTAGATGGTGGAGTCAAAATACCACATGCTAAAACATACTTTCAAATTATTATATCATTAAAGATAATTTATTATTATTATTATTATTATTATTATTATTATATAAGTCACAGTAACAAATAATATTCAAAATATTAACAAATTTTTAATTTTATTATAATATAATATACGTAATATATATTTTATTATATATATATAAAATTTATTATTATATTATATATATATATTAAAATTTATTTAATATACTGTATATATATATATATATATATGTATACATATATATATATGTATACATATATAATATTAAATATTAAAAAATGGATAATTTATTATAAAATATCAATTATTCATAAAAAAATTTCAGTAACAAATACATAAATATAATATATATAATTATATATAAACTTGCAATTTATAATTGTAATACATCTTTTGTTTAAATTAAGACAAAATAATTTTGGATACATATATCAATTCAATTCATAAAATTATTTTTTATTATTTTTAATATTGTATTCGCAAAAATTATTTAATGATTTACTTTTATATTTTTTTATTTTTTATTTTCTATATCAAATCTAATATCGATATCTGGATCAGTTTTGTTTTTATAAATATGAATAACAATTTTATCATTCAGAACTTCTATAAATGTAGAATTATTTTTTGTTACATCAGTTTGCAGTAAGACAGAAGAGTCATTACTATAAATAATTATTGTTAGCGGACCTGGAATGCATTGTATTGGTTCTGGTTCCCATTGACCATTATTATTACATCTAACCCTTGAAGATGATGTCAACCTTGTATCTTCACGATAACCAGGAGAACATTTTAATTGTGCTACTGTTCGAGGTAAAACAGAATCAAAACATGATACTGATATACCATCATATGTACAATCAGCAAATATAGAAGGTGATTGCAATTTTGTACAACGTACTTCTGTAATATACACAATATATAATATATATTCAATATTTTATTATTATTTAATATAATATAATTTTACAATATTTTTTCATACCTACACAAGTTGGAATAGTTAACCATTCACCTCGACTACAAAATGCAATAGCAGAATTGTTTAATTTATAACCAGAATTGCATGTATATACTAAATATGCACCTGATTCTAACCATGTACCTTGTTTAACATCACAATTCTCACATTGATGACCATTTTGTTCAGTACAACATTGTGACTTGTGTAATTTCCAATAACCATTTATTGGTTGTGGTGGTACAAGACAAGATTTAGATTTAATTGTGACAGGAGATTGGGAAGTTATTGAATT